ACATACTCCACTTCGAGCTAGGGGAGTTCAACCTACTATAGGAGTCATAATTAATAGTACTTTGCCTCAGGGTTCCCTCTTTTCAAAACCCTATACTAATGGTTAAAGCCCCTACATTACCCTGAAAGCCAGGTGCGCAGTCAACTTCGGTCAAAGGATGGCCAGATCTGGCACCGGAGTTGCATGCAGCCAGCCTTCAGGGTTCAGGGGCTTAAGAATTTTGGAACGTAGGGAAACCTTAAACGCTATACCGTGTTTCATGGCTTCCGGCTTCCCAGCATGACAGTTTCGAGTTCTGCCTGTGAGGCTTGGGGCTGAGGCAGCAGCATATGTCACCTCTAAGTTTGGGGGGCTCTTGTAGTGCAACCATAAGTAAAGGGGAAACCCCAAAGGCCTAACCAACAGAACCTACACTTGAACCTTAAATACCCCAAACATTCACTTCTTTCCTGCCAGGGGGCAATGGAGCTCAGCAACGTTCGGGATAAGGCTGTTGATGCGGGTTTTGAAGGCCTGAAGATTTAGGGTTTAATTAAAACTGTCTTCGTTCGGGGCTTGAGGGTTGAAAATCCGTATGTGAGTCGGTTTAGGGTTCAGGGCGGGTTGACACATGCTCCTCACCAGGTCCTCCAATCTCTGAGTATCGAAACTCCGAAGCACCGATACCAGTACCACGACCCCGGAATCAAAGCCACCGGTTTTGAATGAGCCCGCGCTCAACCAAGCCAAGCGATGCAGGCCAGGTTGCTCTGCCTGCTCTGACCTCTTAACCCCAAGCTTAAGCCTCGTCTCGTCGCTGAGAGTTTCCAACTGGTGTACTGCGGCAACCCGGGATCATTCAGAATACAGTTCCCCATGAAGAAGTCCTTTGAAAAAATGCTACCTTGCAATCAGTTCCTGCTCTCTTTGCGGGAATGAAAGCGCGAACTATGACTCTAGAGAGGCTTTTCGTGTTTAGCGTCTTGGTTTGCCGATTTAGTGCAAGATGAGAAAGCTTAGGAATTTAAACTTGAAAATTCGGAAAGCCCAGAAAGCTCGAATGCTCTAAAGCTCCCCACGACCTAAGCCCATCCGTAGCCCTTTTGGCTCAAGAAGCAGAGGGCCTTCTGTACTTGGTTGGCTGACTACTGTTGGATCTTGGTGCTGTTGTTCTTGTTAGATCCCGTGGTGTACAAGTAGCAAGCTCACTGGACCCAGTGCCTGAAGCCATGCCTGCCTTGCGCGAGTGTGTGAGTCGAAACTCATAACTACCTAGGGCTTTAGGGTCGAGCCCGGAATCTTATATCCAGATGTGGGTAGTTCTCTTGGTTAGGGTCCCCTTTTAGGTCCCCCCCAAAATAGTACGGCACCTTTATAAAAAGGACCCGTAAAGGCACCCTAACTTACAGAACCACCCTGTTCTTGCCCAGGGATTCGCTGTTCCTCCAGTCGCTTGTGAACACGATCTCAGGGTCCCCCGGGCAGCAGAGTCCGGATTCTTGTTGGAGGTTTTGTTTATGTCACCATAGTAAGTAAGGAAAAGCAGATTGCGGAAGCAATCACTATCTAGCTACATATGAGTCATATGAGCATCGAATTCAACATACGTTTATATGTATATACATGCATACATGCAGACGTACATAGAGGTACATATGTTTATATGACATGTAGACCTCCCCCGCTCTCTCTCTCTCTCTCTCTCTCTCTCTCTCTCTCTCTCCCCCGACTTGTCATGGTACCAGAACTCACCAGATACAGGTATGCCCAGAACTTCGAGAGGCTCGTGTAGACCAAAGAGGATAGACAGAGCTTTCGGAATCACCCCGTCTGGATCATAACGGCATCATGCCAAGCAAAATTCAGGGTCCATGCGTGAATCCCCAAAACATCCCCGAGCATGTCAGAAACCAGAGACTCCCTGAGCTTTGGACCAATCCCAAACACTTGAAACTTCAGCTCGAAGTCAAAGTTCACAGCGCTTGGGGTCTCGGGGTCCCCGTGAACATTCGTCAAGTTTGGTCTTGAGTTCGATTGTGTGGGGCAAGTAGGTTAGTAGGTGGGCAGGTCAATATGCAGTCGCTCACAGCCAGGGTACCAGCATCACGATGATCATGTGCTCTTCGCAGATATGAAATGCGACTAGTGATATTTGGTAATCCCTTCTATCTCAACGTCAGAGGCACCACCGGTAGAAGGGATATTCGCAAGGAAGAGCGTAAACATGCTAGAGGTGTAAAGCGGGATGACATTGTGCTTCATGAATGTAATTGTTTTGTTTAGGGTGTAATCTTAGGGTTAGACACTGGAACCCTAAAACGTGCGAAGACCAGTGTCGCAGACAGGGTGCGATGGAATCCCAGCACATTCCATGTTAGCTGCCCTGAACGTGAGACACGGAACCGGCATCCTGCAAAGCCTCTCGAAAGTGGTAAGCCCAAAAACCGGGGCACATGACATAGGGGTTTTGGGCCTGTTTGACTATAGTTATAACAAGGAACCCCCACAATATTGTAGGTTTTTATTTAGGCCCCTACAACCCATATCAGCACAGATCGAAGCCCTATGCCATGCTGCATTGAAAGCGCTGTCAGGTTCTCCAAGGCAGAATTGCGGGCTGCGGCAGTGAAGAAGATCTCGATGCTCCTCGCGCCTTTGCTTTGAGGTCAAGGGTGGTTTACAGAGGTTGAGAGGGATTTAGGGTGTAGGATTTAGAGGTCAGACGGGATCAAATGCTGTTTTGGCAACGCTGAGAGAGTGTTGGGTGGTCAACTATTGTGTGAGATGACGTTTGACAGGTTACATGTTTTTGTTAATTCTAGAGGAGTTATGGAAACTAGTCCGTCTCTCTAGATGGAGGAGCTATGGAAATGGTTTTCTTTTGGGGACTTATGCAAACATTGAGCTCCCAGCCTTTTACCAGCAGGAGTTTTGCAAGCATGGTCCTCTTGGAGTTGTGAAAACGATTCATTCTTCCTGTTGCCCGGAGGAGCCATGACAAAGGTCAATGTATTAACTGCTGTGGTTTCTTTTGTCTTGGTTTGACCCAGGTCGGTGGGATGTAGGCTTTCCGGCTAGAGTGAGTTTTCAGCGGAGGAGAAGGAGACTAAATCCTTCACCCAAGATCTTGTAATGTAAGGGTTTTGGGGGTTTTGTTAAGGCCCCGATATTTCCCATAACTCGGAGCATCTGGAGCCGTCGCCCTTCTTCGAACCAAGATGTCCTGAATTCAACCCGGCGGCCCGTAAGGCGAAAGCCAAACTCTGCTAACCGAAGGACAAATCCCCCTGATACCTTTTAATGTAGGGGTACTTAGAAATACTTTTTAGTTTTGGTTGTTATAATCCCTAAGAAACAGCTAAAATTATAATTTTGCTCAGGTTCTAAGTTCAGTATAGTTAAGAATTCTGAACCTCCCCCTGATGCCCTAACTTCCAGAATCCTGAACCTGTGTCTTAGCACTGTGGGCTAGTGTAAGCTGGGGAGGCCGTGCTGAGTGAGGTGGTTAGTGGTCAAAACTAAGGTCCCTTCTTTTCTTGGGTACCCTAAACAATAGGTGCCGTATTATACTAGGGACCCAAGAAGGGACCACATTTTTGACAACCACCCATGTGACGATGTAATGAGAGAAAGCGCAGTGGAATGGCACATGAAGCGCGGTTTTTCTTGTTCGATCATGACACCAGGATACGGTGGTAGATTTTACAGCTTAATGTCCAAGAGAATCTCTAGTAGTCCGCAATGAAAGGAACAAAGAAGCAACCTTTCAAAGAACAAGATCAGCAGCACATTATGTCGTATAGTCTTCCTTTTATAACTTGTGCTCTTTGATCTCTTACAACAGGCTATCAGTGCGAAGGGGCCACATTCCCGTCTGAAATAATTTGAGCTCCCTTCTTTCGCTTACATTTCATTGCTTTATTATTTCAAGGCAGGATCGCAACCAGGAGATCGGCAGTTAAGCTTGGAAGCAGTTCGCTCACCAGTCACCCACGAACGGTCTGACTTGTTCTGGCGTTTCTCTTGCGTAAATTGACCTCTAAGTCTTTTGTTAACCATGGTAAAAGAACGATTGTAGGGAGCGAATGAAGCAAAGGGTGAAGAACGGAACGAAGTGAGTTAATGGACTCTTTTGTTGCTGTTCCGTTACTATTCTCTTTGCTCTGTTTTTACACCACACGTCTAGGAGATGCCGCAAGGGGCTACTTTTGAATTGGAACGTGTGTGCTTATTTAGTTTTAGATGGGCTGGCGCTTTCCTCACATCCTTCCTCTTCTCAACAGACTCAACAAACGACTCCTGTAATCTAAGGGTAACTCAGGAGGTCTGATTTCCTGGCTCCTCGGGGTTTGATTACAATCTCTGAAAAATTGGAGCCTTCTTGCATAGACAAATGTTTCGCCGCGACGCTGTAGGAACTAGACGTCCTTGTGGCAACAGCACGAGATCTGCTGTCGGTGCAGCCGTAGTTCTGTTCGTAGTTCTGTTCATGACGTCGTGGCAGTCGGCAGCAGCATGGCAATCGAGAGTCTGCAGCCGTCGCCCATGTCTCCCGACATTCGCTATATAAGTAATGATACGATGCCATTCCCCCAAAGCCCTTTTCCAATTATTAGGGCGCCCTTTTTTCTTCATCCCGAAGCTCTCAGGAGGGAAGCGGCAAGGTATGGTCGACACAAAAACGACACTCGGTGGCATGAGGTGCTGAAAGCGTCTGCTCTACAAGACTAAGACGTAAAGCATTGCCGGATGGGGGCTAAAACCTGGCTAAACCTGCAAGTCAACGGAGCAGAGTCTTCGGGCTCATTGGGTTTCAGAAGGAGGAGGTTGCCGGATGGGGACGACGACTGAATATGCTGGCGACAACAGACGGCTGTGAGCAGGATAGTGGGGATTGTAGTGTTAAGTGTTCAGGGTTTGGGGTGTGGTGAAGAGCATGCAACCCGAAGGTAGATCCCAAGAACGGATGAGCGAGCATGACGAGCAGGAGACGGAAGGTGATGGTAAGGATGCAGGGGCCCATGAAGAGCGCGAGTGGTGCCCATGGCCAGCCAGACGGTGAAGTTGTCGGTGCTTGCGGCCACATGGTGCTGATGCCGATAGTGACGAAGAAGCTCGTGAGTCAATGTCCGGTGGTGCGGATCGCGACGAGCAGGTGATATAGCATTGACGACAACGGTTTGGATACTCACAGAGCTAGGTGACATTCTGAGTGATGGTGGTGGGGGTGCCTGCGGGCCTTCGTTTGCAAAGTCGACAAATTCATGCTGCCATCTTAACCTCTGGGTTCCTATCATGGCATCGAGCGATTGCCTCGGATAAGAGAGCAGTATCAATCGCAAGTTCAATACTTCTGCAGCCGTTGCCCCAGTAAGGAACTGCTCGGAGGGAATGACACTAAGGTTATGTGCAACCCTCCTCAGTTCAAGCACGGGGGTTGGCGGTTTTGGGGTTTAGGGTCTAAAGTGCCAGGATACCTCGACAAGAAATTACCGCGTTGGAAGCTGGCTGTGGACACCTTGCGGCAGAATCAGCAGATTGATTTGTAGTTGTTTCTCTCAGCTCGCTCTTCGCTTCTGTTACAAGTTCTGTCGTTCTTTCTGTGCGTATGCGCATATTATGATATATTATAATATCATATAAGACATTAAAACATAACATGGCATAGTATAAAGTAGTGCAATGTACTACAGTACAATGTAATATAGCGTAGTGTACTGTAATCTAGACTTACTTTCTTACAACGCAGTGTAATATCATATAAGGTAATACAGCATAGTAAAGGACAATGTAAGACGTCAGATAGTAAGATATGGTACAAGATGTTTGTATTTACATGTGTGTGTATGTAAAGTATGTAGATGTTTTGTGCTAGGTATTTATGTACGTATAGGAAGAGGCGATAACAGTCGATCCCATTACCTACCGCCACCAGCGACAGCACAAGAACCAGCACACCCAGCACCTGCACCGGCGCAGGCGCCAGCGCCGGCGCCAGCAGCATCAGTCGCAGCAACAACAGCAACAACAAACAGCAGCAATAACAGCACTCCCGACACACAGCAACAATAACAAACAAATCTTCGGAGTTTGGCACAGAGGGCCTCGAACAAGGTGAGGAGACCGTCTTGCTGATGCCCAAACTACCAGTAGGATGCTTGAGTTTGTGATTTCGGTAGTCGTTCTCTGGGTTGACAGAACTGCGACGCATCTTGATTGTTTAGCCTGAGCCGCAATCCTTAAACGACCCACACCCAAGTGACTTGGGCTTCTTGGCTATTTGGCTTTCAAGCGGCAGCCCAGAACTAGCTGTTCACCACATCACAAGTTTAGGGGCTTGGGTTCGCTGCCGCAGGCTATGTTTTGGGCTCTACCATTGTTTTGCTGCGCCTGATACTTTCCTACGGTGCTTGCTAACTCCAATGAAGAGTCGATCAACCCACAGCCCAGGAGGAACTCTCGATCAGCAAAGATGCGTCTCTGGCACCTTGCCTTGTCTTCCTGAGTCGATCTGTTGTTTTTTTGCCGCGATGTTGTATGTCACTTCCGTACTTGTCCAGAAGCCTTGCGCAGCGTATCCAAGATTTCAAGGTGAGCTTGAAACCCTTCGTGTAGTCGTAGCAGAAGCTTTGTTCCGGCTCAGGCTCCCTACGCCTACCAGAAGACCAACAAAATACAGACGTGCATGTACACGTAGACAAGTATATGCACATCGATAAGCATACAAATTTCTACATACAAATGTATTATATACATACATATTGACTCTCTCTCTATACATATCTATGTATATATATATATATATATATGTGCAGGCACAGGTTTCTAAGCCATGCTGGATCCAAAACAGGCTTGTGTGTATGCAAATAAATGTGCAGGTAGTCATGTGTTGAGCGAGTCGTTTAGATGCCCTTATTGTGTATTTACATAACGTAAGTATACCAAAACATGTACATATGTGCATATGCATCTGCATATGTACAGAGAGAGAGACAGACGGAACAGAAAAACAGAAAACACACAGACAGAGGACAGAGAGACGCAGAGACACAGAGACAGAGAGACACGGTGACGGAGAGAGAGAACGCACACACGGAGAGGGAGAGAGAGCGAGAGAACGCACAGACAGCGAGAGAGAGAGAGAGAGAGCGAGCGAGCGCGAGCGAGCGGGGAGGGAGCGAGGGAGCGGGAGACCAAGCCAGTCCTGAACCCGAACTGGTTTGGGTGCGAAGCTTAAGCCCCAAAGAGCTTCTGGGCCTTCGGAAGTACTCAGAGCCACTGAGATCTATTGGATCGAGCTCCATCCGAATCCCAGCGCACCGAACCAGGCGCAGACGGGTCTCGGGAGGAGCTGAACCCTAGGTTGGGGGTTTTGACTCTAAACCTCCATTCCATGAACGTAAACTCTATACACAGAACGAACGACGCTAAAAGCATCAAGTGCTTAAGAAATTAGGGCTTCGGTTCTTGCCGATTCTAGAAGCGTTGTGCCGCGCAGGGGAGGTCGTATTATTGATGCCCCTAAGGCCTAGCCCCCAGCTGTGGCTGTGTGTGTGTGTGTGTGCGTGTGCGTGTGCGTGTGCGTGTGCGTGTGCGTGTGCATGTGCGTGTGCGTGTGCGTGTGTGTGTTCTCTTTCGATTATGTTCGGTCAGTTGGAATGTAGGGATGAAGCTGGGGCATGTAAGATTCGACAGACTTGGGCTTGACCCTGAATCTTCTAAATGCTGGCCACCAGGTCACGCAGACGGTCATACTCAGCAACATTGTGCAAAACGATCACGCTGCCAAAGCAAAAGAACGCCCCTTGGCTTTCAGTGCACCGAGAGCTGTGAAATATGGGATTGGTGCGGCTGCGGGTGAGAGGTTTGCGATTCAGCGAGTGAGGATTTGCAGGCGCCTGTGTCTTTATGCACCTTGGGCTCGAAAGATACATCCTACTACGGTTGATGATAGAAATCCTGCATGACCTTAAGGACCCTAAACTATGGGAATTATGGTATATTCCTTATTCTGGGTAATGCAGGAATTGTATCATCAACCGTATGTTGGAAGATGATACCCATGGGTTTCCTAATCAGTGACTTTTCCTTGACTTTCACCGACTCGGATTTGGGGTGCAGGTGCGGCAGAGTACTTGAGAACCTTCTCCGACCAGCAACTTGGCAACATAAAAATGCTGCAGATGGGAGTTTCCGAAAATTGGGGGACCCTAATATAGTATCCTAAATAGTAGGATCCTGATTATAAGGACCCCCAAAATAAGGTACCCCCAAATTTTCGGAAACTCCCAGATGTATATACTAGACAGAAACCTGAAAGCCCAAGATCTGTCTTTTTTCGGACCAAGAACTCTCAACAAGAACTCTCAACCTACTCCTACTACTGACTTAGGGCTCCTTTAATTTAGGGTTTAGGGTCACTATAAGGGTACTTTAATATTCAGTTTCGGGGATGCTCAAAAGGCTGGCGCCAGATTCGAGCCTTGAGCTTGAAAGGCCCTATAGTGGTTAGGGTTTCGAATTTTTGTGGGGGGTTTGGGTTTGAAGGTGTAGGATTTTGGGGTTTTAACATTTTTGGGGCTTGAGGTCACCCTAAACCCTAAACCCTAAACCCTAAAACTTGAGGTCTTAGAGTCTGACTGAAACCTGGAGTCTGGCACAGCGGCAGGTAAGGGCATGCCAGGTTCCACATCTCAAGCTCGGAAGTGGCCCCGGGATGATCATCGGCTCAAAGCTGCCAAACCCCACCCTGAGCCTAAACCCTCAAGCCTAAGGTTGGAGGTTTGGGGCTTGGGGCTTAGGCATAGGTCCCGACTGGTTCTCAGCTGCACCCTCCGGAACCTGAAAGCATCTCAGGACCAGTCTCGCGGCCCTTTTTGCTCAGGTACCTCGATCGTTCAATGACGCGGCACCCTTCTGGCTCTGGCTCTGTCGAGTCTGGGTCTCAAGAGATGCCTGCGGGTGGGCCCGGCAGACAGCAGCATGCCTATTCGTCAATTTGTGGCTTGAGTCATAGTAGCCCATACACTCTACTACCTACGGATTGTCTCAGTACCCCGAATGCTCGATGTGTTGTAGCAATTGTAGCAAGATTACGTGCCCGTTTAGCTGGGCCTGCATAGTTTGCATCTTCGACCTTGAGGTTGGTTCCACAAGGTCTGCTTTTGCAGGGCCGTATACTATTTTGAGGGGTTCCTTATTGTATATAGTTATAGTATAATGGGCCCCAAACCCTATTCTAATTATCAGAGCCTTTTCTTCTCGTCTTGTCGGGCATATTGGTCTCGACTTTGGGAGGAAGGAGTTTGGCATACCGGATCGGCATTACCCTCCAGTTACACCCCAAAGCAACAGAATCGAAGCGTACAGTGACGAGGGCCTGATTTTCGGGCAGCAGAGACAAGAAAGCTTTGCTAGAGATATGCATTGTTGCGTCTAGCTGCTCTCTTCCACAGTTGTTGTGCTTCACTTCCAAGCCTCCAAAGACCTAAGCCTTACTTTTCCAAGCCTGGCAAGCTCGGCAACCTGCATGCAGAGCTGATGGTGCTGGGTTTTCCTTGTATTCAGAATGAAGCGGTGCGCCGATGATACAGGGGTTGAGTCCAAGGTTTAGGACTTGAAAACGAACAGCTTGTGGGCAATGCTGCTGTAACTCAAGAGCCCACCATAGCCACATTCCACAAGTCTTCACACGCCCCTGCGCGGCCATGGCGTTGTCCGTGTCCGTCACCCTTCTCAGCGGCCAGCTTGCTGTGCTGCCGGCCTCCACGGATACCAAAATCAGGCAATCGGCGGGGGAGGGGGGGCGAAGAGTCCTTGCGGATTTCAGGATGCCAGCCGAAGCCTGACAGGGAGACCAAAGGGAAGAAGGGCATCAACGCAATGCTACGGGCAGTCAAACTCATCGTCTTCGTCTCGGACCAAAGCCCTTGAGGCACAGATGTGACACCGAGCGACATAAAAGGCTAGAGCCGTAGGATTTCGGGCCGAAGCAATCTCTGAAGCCTGTTGTTCTGCAACCCTTTCTAGGATGCCACATGTGCCTGTTCTGCTGCTCAGTATCTTTCGCTGCAGCCCAGCTCTTGCGAGATCGAAGCGTACTCTTCAAGAGCCAGATGTGCATGTATGATACCATGCTCGTTGTGTATCATGGGCGTGGCGTGTTAAACCCTCAGCCCTTACCCTAAACCCTAACCCTGCAATGTGGGCTTGGTCCCTACGATCATGAACTCTTCAAGCTATTTGTTGGCCTTGCGCGCTTCGCCAGGGATCTCAAGCTGCAAGCGCAGAGGGCCCTGCAGACGGGCATCCGAAGCCCCCGGGGGCTGCGGCTCTGTGTTCTTACTCGCTAAGGAACTTAAGTCAGGTTTAGGGTTTAGGGGCTGTCATCAGCGTGTAGGGTTTTAGGGTTTAAGGGCTGTTCGTCTTGGCGGAGTCATAGCAGGCCAGTCGCAAAGTGTTATCAGAAGAGTTGAGTCTAGCAGCAGCAAGAGCATACACGAAGCCATGTTATTTACCATAGATCCCAAGTATTAGTATGGCAGCTTCAAGTCAGTTCCTTCCCAAGATGCCAGCTGTTGTCTAGGCGTTCGTGGTTTAGGGTTTTTCATGGTAGGTGCGCATCCAGTGGAGACAAGAGACGATGCTAAACCCCAACGGCTTCCAGCTCCTATGGAAGTTTCCGAAAATTAGGGGTACCTTATTTTGGGGGGGTCTTTATAGTAAGGATCCGACTACTTAGGGTGCTAGAGTAGGGTCCCAGGCAAGAAGCTGCCTTCATCCTAAATCCGCCTACGCCTGAAACCTACGCCTGATGGGCTGTGAGCACAAAGTCTAAGCCCCGAGCCCACTCATGTGCGAAGATGTAGCTGACCCAAAGTCAGATGAAGACTTCCCAACCCGCGATCCTAAACCTCACGGTGCGGGAACCCGGGAAGTCCGGCCGTTTGATGATGTTGACTTCGAAGTTGCGTCGTACTACGGTTGATGATATAAACCCTGCACTACCTTAAGTACCCTCATCTATGGGAATTATGGTATATTCCTTATTATTATGGGTAATGCAGGATTTATATCATCAACCGTCTACTCTCAAGACCTTCCAGGGCCTGGAGTAGTAGAGACTTTTTCGGAGATCTAGGTTTGGGACTATATGGGTGGTTGTCAAAATATTATGGTGCCTTTTTTGGGTACCCTAATATGGGAGTTTCCGAAATTAGGGGTACCGTATTATTTGGGGGTCCGTATAATAAGGATCCTACTATTTAGGGTACTAGGGACACTCCCATAAAGTACGGCACCTAGTATTTAGGGTACCCAAAAAGGGGCCATAATTTTGACAAGTACCCATATGGGTCTAGAGGACCTTGCTAGGACACTCAACATTTAGCTGCAAGGCCTGGTCCACGCCGAGAGGAAGGCGGGCCGAGCATCAAAACCTGTTCCCTTTAAAGGGATCCATATAAGTCCTACTATAAGGTACTATAGCATAAGGGGCCTTCACAATTAGAATAGGGTTTCATTATGTTCACTAAACGCTGGTTGTGGGTTTGGCGGCTCTGTCATTTTATTATAGTGGCAGAGAGTATTTTGCCCTCATATGTAGCATCGAGGGCACTCTCGACAGGGCTCCAAACAACTGACGTTACACTCTCTACACGTAATTGGGTATGAACTGAAAACTAAGGCATTCTCTTCCAAGCCTTCAAGAATTTGCGTGACACAACATACCCCCGAGCCCAACACAGAATCATTTTGGCCCCTAAAATGTTTGCCCGTGCCCGTGCTCCTGGCACCAAATCCAGCAGCCCGACCGTAGATCCTTGAAGCCTTGAAACCTTCAAAAGGAAAGCCCTAAGCCCCCGGATCTTGAACCCTAAAGCCCTGGACCAGTAATAATTACCAAAGCCCTAAAGCCTCAAGCCGTAGAGCCCGAGCCCGATCCTGCCAGAGCTTGCTCCTAAAGGATTTCGGGCTTTTTGGTTGTATGTTTTCTCAGCTCTTCAGGACTACTATACTTCTAAGCACTCATACCCTGAGCCCCCCAGGAGCCCTTATTATGGGAACCCTTGTAGCCACAGTGAGAAGCTTCTGCGGCGGCCAGAGCCACCACATTGGTCGTAATACTTCCTTCCTTGCGGTTTCCCATTCTACGAATACTGTGATATACTTCAAAACCCCATTCTAAAGTTATTCCTTCAAGCTCTTAGACTTATTAGAGGAATAGCACACCACCTTCCAAAATCCTGTTCCAATGATTCCTTCTCCGAAAATAACCAAGGAACCCACTATCCTACTTATTCAGGCCCATAATTCTATTCAGTGAGTCCCACAGAGCAGCGGCCCCCAAGATGTTGCAAGACGAGTCGACCGTTGGCGAGACCGGCCTTCAGGACGCAAGGGGGGACACGGGAGCGGAGGGTGGAGTTTGGGAAGTATAGCCTCACCCTTAAGTTCATGTAGGGGCTCATTAAGTTTAGGGCATAATGAATGTGGCACGATGTATCCGATACATCGCAGACAACGAAGGCAGGGGTCAATCGAAGCAGGTGCCCCTTCGTACTGAGTGCTTGAAAACGCTTCGCTGCATTCGAAGTCGCAAAGGAGGCTTCAGCGAAGCTAGACAGCCCATGTGGCGCGAACCGTACGGGGCTACTTGTACAGATGTAAAGGTAGTACTCTTGTGCGCAGTCTGAAGCGGCTTTTCCTCTTAAACCTTAGATGTGGGCAGCCTTTGGGCAGGTGGAATGGAATCATGTAGACAACATGTGAGAGTTCTAAAAGGTGGAAGCCCAACGTATAGACCCCAAGCATTAGTGCCCACCGGTGGACAACATGGGCAAGTTTTTCAAATATGGGATCTTAGTAGATAGACGGCATGCCCGATTTGGCGAATGCATGACTGATCGCTAGTCTGTCACTGCTCCACGCAACGGCTCCAAGATTACGATGCGTTGCCGAGCAGGCGACATATAAGTATAGTAGTTACCATTGGACCACGTGGCCCTTCTGCAATCTAAACGACTGAAGCTGAAAGCGATCTCCAGCAAAGCCGCAACCGTGGGTCTAGTGTTTGACATTTACAGCTTGGCAATCAACTTGATCGCTTTGCTTGCTCACTGTGTTTAATCGTTTCAGTGCCGCATCACTCTCGTCCTTCTTGCCAGCTTACCTACCACCATGCGCAGGCAAGGAACACCTTTTGGCCCACTGCCTACACTTGAACCTGAAAACATCTGTAGGCAACACTTCGCAGGAGGGAGATGTCCTCACGGCCGTAGCTCGCCCTGTGCTGGTGTGGTCGAGCCCGGCTGGGAGTGCCTTCGCAGTAGCCCGGCATTTTCAGCAGCAGGCCACGGGCTTGAGGGTATGACATGTAGATGGGCCCAGATCCAGACCATGTTGGGTCGAATGGGGCCGAGCTGTTTTGTCAAGTAGTCAGTTTGATTCTCCACTTGGAGCTACGAGCGCAGCTAAGGTAAGCCGGAGTGACGGCTTCGTGTTCACCTGGGGGTTGTCCATGTGCCGAGCCTCCAAACACAGCATTCCCGATTTTTTGTCTTCTCCGCAGCAGACGCAAAGTGTCTGCATTTTCCATCCTTCACTATACATGTTTTCGTGTGCCAGACAGTAGCAGGTACGGAGGCGACAGCAGTGCCGTCAAGGATCAGCTGTGGCATGTGAAGCACGTGTGTGTCGGTGATGGTGCAAGTGCCGCTGTTCGTGAAGACGGGACCGTGATCACTTGGGGAGATGATTCTGAGGGCGGAGACAGCTCGAAGGTGGGGGGGGCATCTTCGAGATCGGTTCTAATTGCCCATCAGATACGCGTCATAATTAAGTAAGCAGATCAGTCAAAAGCATGAAAGTAGCTATACAGAATGCTTTGGGATTTACCTGCTTTCAATTTTCATATTTCCCTTTTAAGTTTTGAGTTTACTGTATATATCAAGGCCACTCAGATGGGAGATTCATCGAAACAAGGGGCCCAAATATGGTATTACAAGTACCCCTGAACAGTTCACCTATCACTTCTAGAAGCATGAGCACTGCCTCCGTCCGGTGTATAGCGACCTGAATAGCGAACGAGAGCATGACCCCTTATAGGAGTAGTAAGTACACACACATTTTCAATATATGTACCCCAATACCCTGAAACCCACTCCAGTTGTTACTTCCCAATGTTGGGAAAAGCTTCAGGTGAGCCATGATCTCCATGAAATCAGAGAAGTGAAGGCTTCGCATTCGGCCTTCGCCGCACTTCGAAGCGACGGAGAAGTGATATCGTGGGGTGCTGGTAATTTTGGAGGCCTGTGTCTGCTGCCACGAGATCAGATCCGCAACGTCAAGCAAGTTGAATCCTCCTATGCAGCGTTTGCAGCCATTCGAGATGATGGGTCCGTGGTTGCCTGGGGCGATGAGCGCTCTGGCGGGGATTGCAGTAAGTGTAAGAGACACCTGGTTGGAGTTGTGCGGATTTCCTCAACCAGTACTGCCTTCGCCGCCGTCACCTCCCGAGGGCAAGTCGTGACGTGGGGAGATCGCATGATGGGAGCAGACAGCTCCTCAGTCGCCGACAAGCTGCAGAATGTCCAGTCCGTAGAGGGCAGCACTGGGGCATTCGCGGCACTGCGAAAGGATGGTACCGTCGTGACATGGGGCCCTGCAGCCTACGGCGGGGATAGCAGGAAGGTCCAGGAACAGCTCTACGATATTCAGCTTCTTCGCGGCTCTGTGCGAGCTTTTGCTGCCTTACGCCAAGATGGCAGTGTGAGACTGGGCATGTTGAACTAGTTCGGGAGGGGGTTTGGGGTGTTCAGATTTCTGCCCTTCATAAACTACAGTAACTACAGCCCAGGAAAAGAAAAGGAAGTGCCTGCAATGATCTCTAACGTGTTTGTCCAATAATGTGGCGGCGCATTCAATCCGGCGTGCCTCTTCAGTGCGCTTTTTTTTACTCGAGCCGGTACGTACCAAAAATACGGCGGCCGAATTAATGCGTTTTTTTTGGCTGGGGGATTTGTTCGAGGACCTAAACCCCGGCCCAAACCCTAAAACCCTGGCCCTGAAGCCCAAAACTCTCCCTCAACTCGAAACCACGCTTAAACCTAAACCCTAACCGTACTGTACTATTACCGTACTACTACGGTACTGCTACTGTACTGCTGTACTACTATTGTACTGCTACTACTACCACCACCACCACGACGACGACTACTGCTACTACTACGACTACTACTACCACCACCACCACGACTACGACGACGACGACGACTACTACTACTTCTACTTCTACTTCTACTTCTACTACTACTACAACAACTACTACTACTACTACTACTACTACTACTACTACCACTACTGCACACACCTACACATACATATGCCCTGCACACGACCAGTGCAAAGGCATCGCATATGCGCAGAGGTATAAGGATGCATTCACGCATAACTACGTATACCAAGACGAACAACCACGAGCATAATGCCTACACACATTCCTCCACACAAGCGAGCGCGGGTGTCGGCACGTGATACAGGTATGTCTCACGAGCGCGCAAAATACTCTGTCTGCAGTCGAGAATGGCTGCTTCATATTGAGATGCCTTGAGTCTGATCGAATGATGAGCATTCTAGGATTACTTGGGGCGATGCCGCCTTTGGCGGCAGCAGCGACAGCATCCAGCACATGCTGTCCGATGTGCACCCTGCACTTTGTTACGCTCTGTGGTCTATGGTATATAGGGGTCAGCGATTGGCCTGTGACCCTCTTGCCCTGCGCCTTGCTTTGCTGCATGCCCAGTTTCGGACACAAGCCAGCTCTAGGGACGTGGGTAGCGGAACATCCTACTGTGATCCTGATGGGTACAACATCTGAAACCCCAACCCCTAAGACCTGAAAACCCAAGTCTGCAAGCCACAAGCTTACGAACCCAATACTCTGGAGCGTTTTATAGTACGACTGCCGAAGAGCTGAAGCGACTTCAAGCACCCATCACCGAGAACCCTGAAGCCTCAATCCTATGGCAAAGCTCTACGTGGCAAGACACTCTAAAACAAGCAGCCTACCGCCACAGACCCTCATGCCTGAAGCCGAGCTTAACCGCGAGACTTCAATAACCCCAAGCCTTGAGCTTTGGCTTCAAAGAAGCATGTCAATGTCAACATAACCGACGATTTAAGCCTCTAAGCCCCAAGCTTTCCACCCTAGAAGGCAAGATCTTCGAGCTTCCCATGCTGCCTTTGCAGCTCTCCGGGCGGATGGCCGCGTCGTGGCTTGGGGCGACGATGCTTACGGAGGCTGCTGTGAGTTTGCAGGGCTTAGGTTCCGGGTTCAGGATACGTATAGTTTCGATAGTGTCTTTACAGTTACTATATTTGTTGATACAAGGGCCTAGACCGGGGTATATTACGCTATACATGCATAGGGACCGCAAGTATAAGGGGACACTTGTGCTAGTTATGCAGACCCGTGCCTGCGGAAGGGGGGCACGGCTTCAAGTTCGGAGGAGGAGTGTTTGGGATCTCGGCAAGTGGATTGGGTCCCAATCGGCGAACAAGTTTAGGAGGTCTCAGGCTCACGGAAGAAAGTTTACCCTAAACCCGAAACCTTAAACTCGCTAGCTGTTGCGCAGAAGTCAAAGTGCTCAGAACCCCGAGAACTCGTCTGGCTAGTCCGAGTTGCGAGAGCGTAACTCTACAGTAGAAGCCAGAAAGTTGGAATATCATTATCGTAACCCCTTTAAGGTAAATTATAGGGGATCCTACCATTAATCCATATTCCAACTTTCTGGAGTTCCCTTGAAGTGTGGGAGACGGGCACTTGCACGAGTGAAGGAGCCCAGACTCAGATCGCAGCACCTTTCCAACTTTGGAGAGGAAGACAAAGGGTTGTGCAACAAAATCCTGGGTTCTTGTTGAGGGGTTTCATTTAAGTTACCATATCAGGGGTCCATAGTAAATAATAGGGTTTCCTTATTATCGTAGCTTAAGTTAAATCCCTGATCAAGAACCCAGAATCCTGCACCCTGCAGACTTGCAAACCTGCATTAAGCCCAAGTGAAAGCCGACAACATCTTTAAGGGTTACGAAGCTTCCCCCCCCGCTTTTCGAGGATGCTGCCAGGAGGCAGAGGAGGAACTCTACAGCACCACGGCAAGACTCGTCATACATTGAGCAGTACATCTCGGTGCTTGCAGGGCTTTTGGTTAAGGGTTCGAGGGCTAGGTGGTGTTTGTGCGCATTGTAGCGACCACGCCAAAACAAGGACGGGTTCGCTTGCGCGCGAGGGGGAGGGGCGCAATCTGCTTCTGACAGAAGAGGAAGAATAGAAAGGGAGAGAGAGAGAGAGAGAGAGCGAGCGAGCTAGCTGCTGCACTTTGCGCGTTTATGATTGCAGACCTATTTCTATGTTGCGGAACCTGCACCCTGGGTCCTCATATGCCATTTTGCGAAGAGACCCTTAAACAAAGCTGGTCGGCTGAAGGAGCTTCACCAATGCACCGTAAACCCTCACAGTGTAAAATCGTTTGGCTTGCGATGTTCCTGAGGTGTGCAGGAAATCCATGCGTGCAAAGCTGCATTTGCAGCGCTTCGCGCTGACGGCTTAGTCATCACGTGGGGGGATCAAGCCTTCCGTGGTGACATGACCCAAATTCATGAGCAGCTACAATCTCTAATTTTCAAGCAAGTGTAGATGTGTTTTTTGATGCTGGTGGCTGTTCCGATGGTTGTTGTCCTTTGCATTGTCTTTCTTGCTGTCGTCGTCATACAACGTCATACTCAGCGCGCCAGTAGAACTCCTGCTGCGGAGCCGGTAATCAGGCTCCAGCTAACTTTTTAAGGGCAGTTCATTCTGCTCGAAACCTGCCGCAGAGCCACAAAGTGGCTACCGCAAGTATCATTTGTATCCGACCCAGAGGCTCGCAGCCACCATCAGCCACCAAAACCTAAACCGTAACTTGTCTTTTCGAAGTAGGAGTGAAAAAGCCGTCATGTTAACCCTAAACCCTAAAAAAAAGCTTAAACCCTAAACCTTAAGTTTTGTGAGCCTCCAGGACTTCCCGCGGTGCTTGGCAGGGAGTTGATACGTCCCGAGGCCCCTGAAACCCACTCCCAAAAGCTTGAATTGAATGTTTCCTAACTGACAGGGCGAAAGCAGGTGCTGGCTGAGTCTGGTAGAGTTGAGTTAGTGTTTGATGTTCGTAGTTACATCTTGATTTGGCTAGTAGTAGTTGTAGTAGTTAGTCGTAGTCGTAGTAGTCGTCGTAGTAGTAGTAGTAGTAGTAGTAGCAGTAGCAGTAGCAGTAGCAGTAGCAGTACCAGTACCAGTACCAGTAGCAGTAGCAGTAGTAGTAGTAGTAGTAGTAGTAGTAGTAGTAGTAGTAGTAGTAGTAAGGGTAGGGGTAGGGGTAGGAGTGGGAGTAGGCGTAGGAGTGGGAGTGGAAGTGCGAGTGGGAGTGGTAGTGCAGTGGTAGCGGTGGTGGTAGCGGTAGCTGTAGCGGTAGTGGGAGTGGTTGTGGTTGTGGTTGCTGTAGCGAGAACGGCCTCGTCTCTGCTAAGTAGAAGGGAAAAAAGACAAGAACGCTCCAGGGCGTCGCTTTCGGAGAAACTTTCGGCGGCCGTATTCGAATTGTAAAATCTCCGACTCCAACAACATCCCAGATTGCTTCAGGCTCTAAACGTGATCCTGCCTACAGCTAACCAAGATTTGCAGTCCTGACGAACACAAATGCCACTTCTCAAACACGTGGGAGTGTCGCATAACTGTTTCTCATGCTTGTGATAATCAGGATTCTGCAGTATTGCCTCCGCTTGATAGCAGTAGAGTCCTTCAGTTCTTTACAGCTTCCAAAGAAAGCCTAGACCCTCAACCCTATACCCTATGCCCTTACCCTGGAATGCAGGCCTCGTCCTTGCTAAGTAGGAGGGAAAGGGTAACCCGTGTCCATCCGAAAACCCGAAACCACCAATGGGTAGTTGTCAAAATTATGGTCCCTTTACAGTACGGCACCTAATTTTTAGGGACCCCAAAAAGGGACCATGATGTTGACAACCCCCCAATATCCCAACATCCAGTCACCAACCAGAAAGTCTCGAAGCTCCAGGCCAGAAAAGCCCCTTTTTGACCCTAAATCCGAAGCCCTGAAGCCCTAAACCCTAAACCCGAAACCCTAAACCCTAGACCCTAAATCCGAAGCCCTGGAGAGCCCAAAGATCCCCGCGAACCGTAGCGCTCGAAGCCCAAAGCTCCTAACTTTAGACCTTAACTAGGATGCCCAATAGTACCCTTATTCCCTTTTTCTAGTCCTAGGTTCCTTATAAAGTTACCCAATACCAAAAAGAGATGCCTTTTTATTCTTTGGTTACTGGGTATCCTAGTTAAACCCTATAAACTCAAAAAACTCTGAACCTTAGTCAGGGGAAAAAACTCTGAACCTTCCTCCTCAGGCCCGAAAACTTATAAACCTTAACAGTTCGAAGCCCAAGGCCCCTAACTTTATACCTTACGTAAACCCTGAAGTCTCAACTCTGAACCTTACTCCTAAGGCCCAAAAACTTAAAAGCCTTAGAGCTCGAAGTACAAGGCCCCCTTAAACCCTAAACTCTAAACTCTGAACCTTACTCCTAAAGTAAAAGCCAGAAAGTTGGAATATGATTACCCTAAACCCTTTATTAGTAAATGATAAGGTATCCTACCCTGAAACCATATTCCAACTTTCTGGAGTTCCCTTTAAGGCCCTGAAGCTCGAAGCCCAAGGCCCCAAAAGAAGCCTTGTGGACCCAGGCCGCTGGTCTTCCCCCTGGACTTCGAAGAGCGGCGTTCCTGCGAAGGGGCGGAGGAGCGGGCTCCAAGCAGAGCTTGCTTTTGGGGTGGATATTTTTTTTTTTATTTTTTTTTTTTTTTTGGGGGGGGGGGGGGCGTTTAGAGTTATGGCATGAGGCTATTGAGGCTTCATCTTCATAGGGATTCATCATGTTTTTGACCGGTTTCGAGGCTTTGGGGGATTTAGGGCTTTTGAGGGTTTTCGGGTTTGTTAGGTTTCATCGGAATTTATCAGATGTTGTCGGTTTTGAGCCCTGGAGCCTTGCTATGTTCGCGAGGAGCAGATGGAAGTTGGATGAACTGACTCAGCCCTAGACTCCAAATTCCTCGATCTCCAAGGTGCTAGAGCCGGACTCCACCCGTGATTCGCTGCCGGTGGCGCTGCAGAAGCGCTATGCGACTCAGCACAGCCGGTATCGTGTTTCTGATCTGTGACGATCGCGAGTTGCGGGTGTCTTGCGGGCATACGGGCTGGAACATGCACAGATCGCCCGTGTCACTTGGGGATTCGGGGTCAGCCGGGCTGTCGCTGCTACTCTTCTTCTTCTTGCTTCCACCATTTCAAAGGCTGAACCGAAGCCATCAGTCGGCAAGTGGCAAAGCCTGAGCTCCCCTGGCTTGCAGGTCATGGGGCCGCGGGGAGCCCAGTGCGGAATACTCACTGGATGTAATGTGTCTGCTGCACGAACTAGCACAAGAACTGCACTGCAACTACAATGGCGACGACGACGATCAGCACCGGCACTGCCACCACCACTGCCACTACTAATTGCAACTTACGGTGGCTTCGGCGTACAGATTTGCAGCGGGTCCAGCTAGCGGGACTGTGCTTACTTCTTGGAGCGAATGCTTGCCGCTGTTGGTTGTTTTCAGATATGCAAAAATATCGCCACAGCGTGTCGAGGCTTGGAGACATTGGGAGGTCCATACGTATCCATTCTGCATGCCGGCGGAATGAACATGAACTGCTATAGATTGCACCCTGCGCTCGCATGTCTTGTGGAAAGGTTGAACCTCTCATTTGCACATCCCAGCCCTCCGAGTGAGGGTCCAAAGCAGGCGTAGTTCAATCAGTGAACGTACGAGGTTTGCGAGCTCCCAGAAACCCCGAGCCCTGCATGAAAGGACTGAGCTTGACTTCCTCGTCAAGGAGTCCTTGAAGTCTGCAGCATGGCTGTTAAAAGGGGGCTGGGCGAGCTGTATAAGTATTTTCAGTAAAATACTTATGCCACCAGTGATGATGCTGTTCAGATGTTTCCAGCACTACCGCTACTTGTTTCTGCTACTGTCATCTGTTTATATAATATATAGCCGGTAGATCTTATATATGTCTTAATACTATACAAATACAAATGAGTAGAATCCAGTATGTACCAGGTCCTATGCATTATGATGGCGGGGCATCCCCGAGCTAAGCTTTCAGATATTCGGAGCTTCAATGGGTGTTATCAACAATATTTTACTATGGTTGCTATTGCTTGGAAGCTGCCCCCACCCTGTCATAGTGGCAGAACAGGAATATAATAGGGCCCTAATATATAGTCACTATTACAGGGTGGGGGGCAGCTTCGAAGCTATTGCTATCATTCTGGTATTTTTGATTGTGTTATTAGGGCTGTGCGGTTGAAAAGAATATTTTCGCTTTAAGGCCTTTAAAAACCTTAACGGGGCTGAGGGCTTGGGGAAGAACTAGAAATCTTATCCCCTGTTAGTCCTTATTGCAACTACAGTAGAATATGCTCCTAAACCCTGTTCGAACCATTCAGGCCGATACGTTGAGCTTCTAACGAACATGTTCTTGACTCTGTACGTAGCGAAGTGAGAAGAGGTTTCCAGAAGTTAGGTTTAATGGGTCTAAGGGAAATACAGTTGATGTTCAGCATATGAACTTTTGAGCAGTAGAATTCCAGATCTAGTTTCTAGCAGAGTCACACCATCGCTAAAGCCATGAATGCAGAAACAAATTCGTAGCCTTACAGTGGCTGGTGCCAATAGCCCACGCAAAGTTCAAAAGCTCCATGAGTGGCTTTCCGTAAATTTTGTCGAGTCTTTGATGCTAGGCCATTTACAATAATTCATGCTGCAGAGTTTAGGGGTGATTTCTTAGAGCCTGAGATTCAAGAGTTCAGGGTATATTCTTTTCCGAGGTGCAGCTGCCATACCGTCTTGACGAAGATGATGCTCGTCCGAAGTCGGATAAGCATCGAGAGCCTCGCGGGAAGAGTTCAGGGCTTCAGTTATCTTCCACACTTGATCCGGTACACAACCTGCCCTCCTTAGTTTGCAAGTTCACCCCCATCCTTGCAAAGGCTTAGAGCCGCCCCAGAAAGCAACAGCGACCAACTCAAGGGGGTCTGTCGCTCCAGATTGCCTTGCACGACCATGGATTAGCAAGATCTTTCCAACTTTCTCTCTCGGCGTTAGCCGCAAGGCAGGAATCCTGATGTTTACCCCGTGTAACAAAAATGGAACCCCCTTTCATATTTTCTCTGTGTGATGACGAGGCTTGCAGAGTTCAGGGGTTTTCTTGTCACAACATGAAACCTGCACGCACTCAGGCCCAGAATAGAACCCCTGAAAAGAGAGTTGGATTCCCTAGGTACCTTTTTTGCGATGCGCAGTGCAGGCATGGCTTCTGAGCCGCCTCTCTAGGTGTTGCAGCTATTTCCACCATAGCTCGATTCAAAACATGGCTTCCAAAGGGCCATGCAGGTTTAGGGTGCATGGGATTTCCTCTTTGACTCCTTCGAGGCCTAGGCGAAGATTTCAGGGCGGCTTCCTGAACGGCCAGCCCCTTGAACAGACGACTGCTCTCGCTCCGAAGCGAAACAGAAGCTCGTAAGAGGGCGCAGTGGGGGATCCTTGACATC